GATGAACTGAAGAATATTATGCTAAGTGAAACAATCCACTTAGTGAAAGACAAATACCATATGATTTCACCTGTAAGTGGAATCTAATGTACAAAATAAAACAAACAAAATAGAACCAGAGACATGGAAGTAAGGAACGAACTGACAGTCAACAGAGGGGAGGTGGGAGAGGAATAATGGGGGAAAGAAGGGGAAGGGACTAGATAAAGAACACATAAGAATGATCCATGGACATGGACAACAGTGTGGGAAGTGACTGTGGGGGTGGAGATGGGCGGAGGGGGGCAAAGGGGGAAAAACGGGAACAATCATAATAGAGTAACAAGAAAAAATGATTAAAAAAAATAGTGTTAGAAAATAGGCCAGCGAAGTAAAAGAATGAAACTAGGCCACTTTTTTACACCGTATATGAAAATTAATGGAAAACAGATTAAGGACTTGAATGTAGGACCTGAAAGAAAAAAAACTCCTAGAAGAAAACATAGGCGGTCTATTCCTCAACATAGGTCTTGGCGATGATTTAGTCAATCTGACACCAAAATCAACAGCAACAGAAAACAAAATTAACAAGTGGGACTATATCAAACTAAAAAGGAAATCATCAACAAAATGAAAAAGCAAACTAGTGAATGGGAGAAAATAATTAGATAATCATATCTGACAAGGTGCTAATATACAAAATACATAAAGAATTCATGCAACTCAGTAGCAAAAAACAAGAACAAGAACAAAAACAAATGAACAGCAAAAAGAAACCCCCCCCAAAAAACACCAACCAAAACCAAAAAAAGAGGGGGGGGGCATAAAACTAAATAGACATTTTTTCCAAGAGGACATAAAGATGGCCAACAGGTACATGAAAAGATACTGATATTATTCAGCATTAGAGAAATGCAAGTTAAAACTACAATGATATCACCTCATGCCAGTTAAAATGGTTATTATCAAAAAGACAAGAAATTACAAGTGTTGGCGTTGGAGAAAAGGGAATCTTCATGCACTGTTAGTGGGAATATAAACTGGTACAACCACTATGGAAAACAGTATGGAGGTTCCTCGAACAATTGAAAATAGAGAACTACCACACAATCCAGCAATTCCATTTCTGGGCATTTATTTAAAAAGCCCAAAACACTAACTTGAAGAGATATATGTACCCTCATGTTCACTGCAGTGTTATTTACTATGGCCAAGATAATGTAACAACCTAAGTGTCCAATAATGGATAAATGGATAAAAAATGTCTTATATTTTATAATGGATTTTGACATTAAAAAAATAAATAAAATCAATCTGCATTTTAAAAAAAGGAGAAGGAACTCCTACCTTTCGTGACAACATGGATGGAACTGGAGAATATTATGCTAAGTTAAATACCATATGATCTCCCCATATAAGTGGAATCTATTCAACAAAATAAACTAATAAACAAAATAAACCACAGGTATGGAAACATGGAGCAGACTGAAAGTGACCAGAGGGGATAGGGAAGCAGGACAATGGTAGAAAGAAGGGAAAGGGACTAGATAAAGAACATGTATGAATGACCCATGGACATGGACAACACAGTGGGAACTGACTGTGTCGGGGAGGCCGGTGGGATGGGTGGAGGAGGACAAAGGGGGAAAAACTGAGAACTGAGACAACTGCAATAGAATAAACATGATTTAAAAAATAAATAAATAGGAAAAAAATTAAAAAAGTTATATAAATAATGGAGTATTATCCATTCATAAAAGTGTCTACTGCTGCGTGAATGGATAAATGTGTGGTGTATACACACATGCACACACAGAGAAATATTATTCATCCTCAAAACAGAATGAGATCTTGCCATTTGCAACAACATGGATGGATCTCCAGGGCATTACGCTCAAGTGAAATAAGTCAGACAAAGACAGATATCATGTGATTTCACTTATATGTGGAATCTTAAATTAAAAAAAAGCTCATAGATAGATAATTTATTGGTGGTTGCCAGAGGCAGCTGGGGGTGGGTAATAAGTGGGTAAATATATTTTTAAGTTTAAATAAATTGAAAAGAGAAAAGCCCTTAAAGAAGAAAAGGCCAAGGGCTTAATTGCAAGAGCAGAAAAAAGGAAAAAGAAAAATTATCCTTCCAAAAAATGCAGTTTAGAATTAAAGGCATTTTCAGACAAAAAGAGTGGGGTGGGGTGGGCAGAAGGAAAGCAGGAAGGCAGGGAGGCAGGCAGCTGAATAATTTTGTAAATGGCAGACCTGCACTAAAGAAGAGATGGTTCTTCAGATAGAATGAAAGCAATCTCAATGATTCATAATGAAGAGCCACTGAAATGGTAAATATGTCAATTTTACCTCAATAAAAAAGAAATGGTAAATACGTAAATAAATCTAAAAGAGCATGGGTTATATAAGACAGCAGTAAATTTGTTAACACTTATGACACAGAAATTACCTGACAAGAATACACAGGAGTGGGCAAAGGTAGGTTTACAGTTGTGAGTACATGACACAGCATGTTGTGATTTATTATTATTGTTTAATATTTTGTACAACTGTAAACCTACTTTTGCCCACATCATTACTTTTAATTGAGAAACAGTTATTCCTTTGTATAACTATCCCACATTTGTTTCATGAGTTAATATACAATACTGTGTTGACCAAAAAGTCTGTTTTTTCTCAGTAAAATAAAAGACATATTTTTCATTTTCACCAATAACCATAATGATTTGGATATTCTGAGTATGTCGGCTATCTCCTGAGTGGTATAATGTTGATTTTTCTCAGTTAATGTCTTGATTTAATCATTATCAACTTCAACTGTTCTACCCACCCGTGGAGCATAGTACAGGGAGAAATCTCCAGCACGAAACATCGCAAACCACTTTTGACAGGTTCAGTCACAGCATCTTCTCCATACACTGCATAAATCTTTTTTTGTGTTTCAGTTGCATTTTTACCTTTCTTGAAATAAAGCGTAATATGCTAAAAGTGTTGTATATTTTCTTCCATCTTCAATATTAAAATGGCTACACAAAAATTCACCAGTTTTTTTTTTTAAAAGCGCACACACTGATATGACAGCTGTCACAACAGAATCTAACAAAATTATTTCAAATGAAGTTAAAGACTACTAAGCACTACTAGGGCCATCTTACAGAAAAAAAGGAACTTTTTGGCCAACCCAATAGGTAGTTTCTACTTTGAAGCTGTTATGAGTAATGGTTTGCATAGAAATGTCTGTATAGACATGCTTTCTTTTTTCCATTTCTCTTGGCTATATATTTAAGAATAGATTTACTAGCAATCCTATGTTGAACACTTTGAGGACCTGCTGGTCTGTTTCCCACAGTGGCTATACTATTTACATTCCCACTAACATTTTGAAAATCCTCATTTCTCCATATCCTTGTCAGTCTTTTTGATTAAAGCCATTTAACAGGTATAAAGTGGTATCTTGTTTTGATTTGCATTTACTTAATGGTTAATGACGCTGAGCATCTTTTCCTGGTCTTTTGGGCCATTTGCATACTCTTCCTGGGAAGAAACACCTATTTAAAATCCTTTGCCTAATTTTTCAGCTGAGTTGGTTGTCTTTTTACTGAGTCATTAAGACTTCTACATATATACTAGAAATAAGATCCTTAACAGATAAATGACTTACAAATATCAAATGCGACTTTAAAATGTGTGTGTTAACTTCTTTAAAGCAAGCACAAATACAAAAATAACAGAATGATTCTGATCTGTTGTAATTATTGGTGGTCATGGTAGTCACAATAAGCATATGTATATAGGAAAAAAGAATAGGAAAGTTATTCACAGGTGTTTATTATACACATGAGGAGATGAGATACGATTTTTCACCCTCTTCTTTGGGCTTTCCCATTTTTCCTACAGTAAATGCATATTTAATACAATGTACAATTTAATCATCACCACTCTTCCCTCTAAATCTCTAGCACCTTCCCCAGCAAAAATGAACAAAATAGAACTGCTTGAAAAAAGTTTTTCTTATAAGCTGCCATGTAAAATATTAATGTCATAATCTCAGGAAAACTATAAAAATTGCAAATTTAATAAGTTTTATTTAAAAATATCTCCAAAATAGAGGAATTTATCTAAGAAAGACTCCTCTGACAAATGGACTACACCATTAGGACTTCCAGTGAAATCAGGAAAAGACCAAGGCTGGACTGCAATGGAAAGCAACTCAGGTCTCAGCAATCCCAGAGACCTGAAACAAAAATTGGAAAAAGGAACTTAAAAAAAAATGTTATTAAGTCAATTGCCTCTTGGGGGTATAAAGTATAAATTTTTAAAGAGGAAAAAATCAGAGGAGACAAAAGATTATTTTTATTATTTTTTGTGAGCCACCTTGGAATCCACAGCAACACTGAGCTGTGGCCTACTGAGGGATGGTTCAGCAACCTAGCAGGGTACTTTGAAGTAAACTTTCTCTCTTTCTAATGGGTATTATCAAAGGTTTAAAACATTAGCCCTGGTGGGTGTAGCTCAGTTGGTTGTGTGTTGTCCCACAAAACAAAAGGTCGCTGGTTCTATTCTCAATCCGGCCATGTGCCTGGGTTGTGGGCCAGGTCCCCGGCTGAGGCACGTGTGAGAAGCAACAGATCAATGTTTCTCTCACACATCGATGTTTCTTGACATCTCTTTCTCCCTACCTTCTCTTTTAAGAAAGAATGAATAAATAAATATTAAAAATATAAAGTTAAAATATAAAGATTTAAAACATTATGATAAATTCTGTTTCTGCTCATTTTCTTTATGTATAATTCTCAAGGAAATTTTTCTACAGTAAACATTTCACTATATTTTACAACATCATTGCATTAAAGGTTTCCTGTCTACTAATTATATGTCAGCACCTACATCTATAACTTGAAGCAAGTTCACCCAATTATTTTTCTCTACACTGAATTTTCCCCAAAATACCTTTAGACAGGAGCCAATCTTTAATTTTCCTTATGTTCAAAAGCTACCAGGCACCCATGACACACCTGTGTGAGATAGAGGAAAAAACTTGAATACTGTCCAGCTTCAGGAAGGTAAGAAAGAAACACGGTAATGCAGATTAGTAAGACGGTAGAATCTTTTCCAACTTTCTTCAGTGACTAGGAAAAAGCAGAAAGAGACATAAAAAGCAAACAGCATAATGAATATAGCCAAGAATAGTCTAATACCATGTATGGTGTCAGATGGGTATAAAACTTATCGGGATGGTCATTTAGTAAGTTATATAATGTCTAATCGCTGGGGTGCACAGCTGAAACTAATATAATATTGTATGTCAATTGTAATTGAAACATTTTAAAAAGCAAATAGAAACTAATGTTGCTGATATTCTGTGATATTACATATTTTTATTTTGATCTTTATTGTTTTGATCTATTAAGGTGGATAACAAAAGGTGAATGGACTATAAAAGGAGTAAACTTTTAACATTAAATACATTGCCATCTCTTTATGGAGGTTGCAATTCCTAATTTCTGAGGTACGTAATTAAAATATTACAACTTAAACGTGTACACATACACACACTTGTTCGTTTTTATTTCAAAATATTGGTTCACCTGAAACACACCCTGAACATCCTATGAACAGACGCTGAAAACACATTGATCCAGAATCTTTTAAGAAAATCTCATCTCTCTTTTTCATTTATAATGTAACTTCTTTAAAGCCATGAACAGTATAGGGGTTCCATTACACATAAATTCACTATATTCTTTAACATGTTAGTATTCAATTTGCCTGTAAGCTAGCTGACAAATCAGGTGTGGGGCCCGACCATCTGTGGGTGTATGCCTGGTTTCCTTCTTTCTCCATGTCGCGAAACAAATGGGGCACAAACAGAATGGGCAGGGTTCCTAGGTCATGCCCTAAGCAGGCTTTCTTAAAAAGAATTTGATGGGTTAGTTTTCTTATCACATGTATTTTTTCTAAAAGGTAAATTTGGGAGATATAAAGCAAAAATCAAATCTCTTGTTAATTTTTTTCTGCATATATTTTCTTCAAGAACAATTTCAAACCAAGAGGGGAGAGATAAGACTTCCAACTTTTATATTATATAAAATATAATAATGTTATTAAAAATAAAAATTGTGAAAACCTTCCCCAATAAAAAAATACATGCTTTATTCGTCTTCTTTAATTGAGAAACGGGGATGTGGGGAGAAGGGTGTAAAAAATGCCAGCAGGGCTTATGATAAGAATTTACAAATTACTCAGGGATTGTCCTTGATCTCATTTCTCAAGAATATGCCTTGTTTGAGCTTTTGGTCAAGATGGCAGAGTAGACAAATACTGTACTTCTTCTAAGTACTTTTTTGAGTTGTTAATGCCATTATCTCATGCCAAAAAATAAAAATAAATTTTGGTAAACAAAGAACCCATTCAATCTGTAAAACATAAGTTCAAAGCCTCTGCCCTAAGAAGAAATTAGAAAATAACTACTTTAGTCAGACCAAATACTTTTTATCCTTTTTGAATTTCAGTGAATAAAACCACTTCAAATGGCCACGTTCACACATTTTGTTTAAAAAAACAATAAAAAGTCACCATGCAGAAAAAAACAAAAACAAAAACACAACACAAAACCCAAAATACAAAACAAAACTTCTTTTCCTCATCAGATATTAAATAGACAGTGTTTCTCTCTTCCACTGTGATAAAAACCACATGTCTGACTTAAGGAATATCAATTCCATACGTTCTTTGGTGCACAGTCTACCTCAATCCCTTCCTTGTAATTTCTTTTTTTTCCCTACTTTTACTGGAGATAGAAATGGATTAACAACTGCTGGGATGCTTGAGGTTGCAGAAATATTCTTTTATTTCCATGATTTAGAAAGATACTTAGAAAAGTAAATATTTTCATAATTTTATTTACCGCAAAAGGGTCTGCTTGTTTCCAAGAAATCTGAATTCCCCAGGAGAGTGGTCTCATTTTCTCTGGGAAGGATTCTGGAACAGCCAATAAGATGAAGCAGATGTCCAGAAGAGCCACCACTGTGGCTACCAGTACAACGAGACTGTCTCCATAGCGGGCTGAGAGGTATGCTCCAATGGCTGGGCTGCTGACCAGACTGGCTGCAAAGGTGGCTGAGACCTGTGGAAAAAGCACACTCTCATCCAGGGTCTCCTATGCAGCAGGTGCCCACCTACATTCCCGTTCTCACCCAGGGTCCCACACGTGTATACCTACAGTCATCCTACCCTTGGTTTTAAACAAGACAATGGAATGCATTGTACAAAAATTTTAAGAAAGAGAATTAAAGTAATTTTAAGAATTTTTTTCACCCACTATTAACTAATTGGAGATATCCTGGAAAGCTACAGGAGTAAAATATAATAATGTTATTAAAAATAAAAATTGTGAAAACCTTCCCCAATAAAAAAATACATGCTTTATTCATCTTCTTTAATTGAGAAATGGGGATGTGGGGAGAAGGGTGTAAAAAATGCCAGCAGGGCTTATGATAAGAATTTACAAATTACTCAGGGATTGTCCTTGATCTCATTTCTCAAGAATATGCCTTGTTTGAGCTTTTGGTCAAGATGGCAGAGTAGGCAAATACTGTACTTGCCTCCTCCCATGACCACATAAAAATTACAACTAAATTACAAAAAAATCATCATTGGGAGCCTGCTGAAGACTAGTTAAACACCGGTCCAATACCTAAGGATACAAAAAAGCAGCCACACAGCGATTGGAAGGAGGGGTATATTTACAGAATGGGCTGGTCTTGCACCCACATTTGGTTGTTTAAATCAGGAGGGATATCTGGGTAGCAGAGGTTCCCCTCAGAGGAGCAAGGGGTCCCAGTCCCAAAACAGGCTCCCCAGCTCAGGGTACCAGTACAGGGAAGAGAAGTACCCATAACTTCTGTCTGGAAAAACCAGCAGGGATTGTGGCTAAGTGACACAGATAGCTTCTGGAGTCCTGAAAGTTCCTCTTCAAAGGTCCATGTATGAATGTACTCACTGACAGACTAACTCACTCTGGGCTCCAGCACTGAAGCACCAGCTTGAAAGATACGGGGAAGAACTAACTTGTCTGGCAACAGAATGAGGGCTGGAGGGGTAGCTTTCTCCCATACAGAAATGCTGGCAGAGGCCATTGTTACTTTGCTGAGCTCTCCCCATTCAGGTGCAGGTGAACACCATATCTGAGTCTCCATCATCCTGGCTAACACTGTTAAGCCAGCCCCGGTGACTCCCCGATACCCTGTCCCACCCAACTTGCAGGCCCACCCAAGCCACTTCAAGTGTTTTTTCTACACAAATGGCCAATCTTGGCTCATGCTGCAGACTCTCCTACATTCTCTCAAAGGTTCACAAATCTCCAACAAGTAGCATCTGGCCTCAGTGTGCCCTTTAACTCCTAATAAGTGACCCCGGGCCCAGCACTAGTGGCAGTGGCCCCAGTACACAACTTGACCTCTTCCAGATACCTCCAACACCAGTACGAGCAGCAACCATTTGGACAACTTTTTGGAAGTCATGCTAGGTAAGGGGCGGGCAATGGTTGACATTGGCCTGCACTTCCCAGAAGGCCCCAGAGTCAGGCCACCTGGTGAACAGCTTCAGACCACACCAAAGCACAACCCAAAGACCTCCATGAGTAACACTTCAAGGGGCAGACTCAGTGGGCACCAGAATCCCACTGAAGTGAAACCTGCCCTGCAGATCCTCTATAATAGTTGTAGCCAGTCCTCTCAGCCAATCAACCTGGGGGTAAATCCTTTCCAATGATGTGCCACCTCAATTAAGGATCAATAACAACAGGAAGGTGCACACAGCTCACACTGAGGACACCCACTTGGAGCTGGGGAGAATAGAATGCTCCATTGTGTTCTACAGGACACTTACTACATAAGGTCACTCAAATAAGAGATGTAGCAGCTCTACCTAAAACATAGAAACAAATACAGGGAGGCAGCCAAAATGAGGAAACAAAGAAACAGGTTTGAAATGAAAGAACACAACAAAACTCCAGAAAAAGAACAAAACAAAATGGAGATAAACAATCTACCAGATGCAGAGATGAAAACAGTGTTATAAGGGTCCTCAATGAACTTAGGAGAACAGCAGATGAACTTAGAACTTCAACGGAGATAGAAAATATAAAAATGGAGATAGGAAACATTAAAACAGAAATGAAGAATACAATTACCTGAAAAATGAATATATTACAAGAAACCAAGGTAAAAGAAACAGAGGATCAAATCAGAGATTTGGAATGATGAGATAGCAGAAAACACCCAATCAGAACAGCAAAATGAAAAAACGTGGATAGTTTAATGGACTGCTGGGACAAGATCAAGTGAATCAACATTTGCATAAAGGGGAACAAGGAGGGGGAAAGAGAGAACAAGGCATTAAAAACCTATTTGAAGAATAATGACAGAAAACTTCCCTAACCTGGCAAAGGAAACAAGTCCAAGAAGCGTAGAGAGTCCCAAACAGATCCACACCAAGATAATCATAATTAAAATGGCAAAGGTTAAAAACAGAGAATCTTAAAAGCAGCAGGCGAAAAGCAGTTAGATACCTATAAAGGAGCTCTCATAAGACTGTGAGCTGATTTCTCAGCAGAAACACTGCAGGCCAGAAGAGAGTGGCACTAAATATTCAAAGTGATGAAAAACAAGGACGTACAATCAAGATTACTCAGCAAGGCTATCATTTAGAGTCAAGACAGGTAAAAAGTTTCCTAAACCAGAAAAAGCTAGAGAAGTTCATCACTACCAACGCAGTATTGCAATAAATGATACAGGAACTTCTTTAAGAAGAAGAAAAAAAGTATCAAAAATATGAATAATAAAAGGCTCGGTAACTACATACCTATCAATAATTACTTTAAATCTACAGAAATTAAATATTTCAATCAAAAGACATAGATGGCTAAATGGAAAAGAAAACAAGTCCCATACTTACGCTGCCTATAACATACCCATTTCAGACAGATAGGCAAACATAAACTGTAAGTAAAAAAGAATGGAGAAAGATATTTCACGTCAATGGAAATGAAAAAAAAAAAACCCAAACAATCCTGGGGTAGCAATACTTGTATCAACCAACATAGATTTTTAAAACAAAGGCTATAACAAGAAACAAAGGATATTTCATAATGATAAATCAATCATTCCAACAAGAGTTATAAACCTTGTATATATGTATCCAATGTACAAGTATGTAAATATATAAAGTAAACAGTGATTAATATAAAGGAAAATACTGACAGTATTACAGTAATAGTGACTTAAACAACCCACTGACATCATTGGATAGATCTTCGAGACAGAAAATTAACAGGGAAAAAGTGGTCTTAAATGACACATTGGACCAGATGATTTAATTGTAAAGACATTTTATCCCAAAGCAGCTGAACATGTGTTGTTTTCAAGCACACATGGAACATTTTTAGGATAGGCCATATGTGAGGCCACAAAGCAAGTCTCAGCAAATTTAAGAAGACTGAAATCATATCAAGTATCTTCTCTGACCACAATGGTATGAAACTAAAAATCAGTTACAAGGGAAAAAACCCTGAAAAACACACAAACATATAGAGGCTAGATAATGTTACTGAACAATGAATCAATTAATGAAGGTGCAAAGGAATAAATCAAAAGATATCTTGAGAGAAATGATAATGGGAACACTACAACCCCAAATCTATGGGACGCAGCCAAAGCAGTTCTAATTCACAGGGAAATTCATAGCAATACAGGCCTACCTCAAGAAATTTCCAGTAAGCAATTTCTTCTTACATCTAAAATAACTAGAAAAAGGACTATAACAGAGCCCAAAATGAGTAGAAAGAAATAGTAAAGAGTGAAAATAAAAGAAATAGGGTCTAAAAATAACCTCAAGAGCTGGTTCTTTAAAAAGATAGACAAAACTGATAAAATTTTAACCAGACTCATCAAGATGAAAAGAGGGAGGACCCAAATAAATAAAATCAGAAATGAAAGAAAAGGAAATCATGACGCAGGAAGAGGAAGATACAGAGAATACAATTTGACTGAGGAGTAGAAGGCAAGCAAAGCCAAGTATCATCTAGTCAATCGGAAGTATAAGTATTTGGATCATTCAGGGGATGTCCAGTTACACAACTGACTGCTAAAAAACTGGACAGCTCTGGAAGAAATGTATAAATTCCGAAAACCACACAAATTTCCAAGACCAAATCAAGAAGAAACAAAATCTAAACAGACCAGAAACTGTCAACAAGATCAAATCAGTAATCAAAAAACTCCCAACATACCAATGCCCTGGACCAAATGGTTTCACAGGTGAATTTTACCTTACCAAACATTCAAAAAACATTTAACACCTATCCTCAAACAATTCCAAGAAACTGAAGGCAAGGAAAGGCTCTAAAGCTTATTTTACAAGGCCAGCATTATCCTGATTCCAAAACCAGACAAATAGAGAAAAGAAAAAAGAAAGAAAAGGTCAATATCTGTGATGAATATACATGCAAAAATCCTCAATAGAATAGCAGCAGCAAACTGAATTCAGCTATATAGTAAAAAGATCATACACCATGAAATATTCTTGACATGAAAGGTTGGTACAAAATCCACAAATCAATTAACATGATATACAACATAAAACAAAATGAAGGATAAAAATCATATGATCGTATCATTAGATGCAGAAAAGGTATTTGACAAAAATTAAGCACCCATTTATGATAAAAATTCTCTACAAAATGAGAACAGAGAGAATAACACCTCAAAACAATAAAGGCCATGTATGAAAAACCCACAGCTGACATCATATTCAAGATGGCAAAACCGAAAGTGTTTTCCTTAAACGTAGCAACAAGTTAAGTATATTGTCCTTTTCCATTTCTATTCAACATAATATTGAAACTCCTAGCAACAGGAATCAGGCAATAAAAATAAAGGCCAGGCAAATTGGAAAGAAATAAGTAAAACTGTCATTATTTGCAGATGATACTCTATATAGAGAACCTATTAGAACTCATAAATGGATTCAGTAAAATAATAGCAACTAAAATTAATAATCAGAAATCAGTTGAATTTATTTCATTTTTTATTTTTTCAATTAGTTTATATTCAACATTAATCTGCA